CTACGTCCTTCAAGAGGGTTGGTGTTGAACCAGATTGGTCAAAGAATGTATCAACTCCTTGACTTAGATGATGGGTCAGTCCATCGCAGACATAGTGACCAAATAATTTGTAACACTCCCAATTCTGAACGTTCTAATCCTTCTCTTTCTGTGTCTATTTCAGATGAAAACCATTCAAATGAACCTTCCAAGAGTTCCATTGAAAATCCTCGACGATCCGAACGCTTGCGTTTCAAAGAGAGACCTGATTACAACAACCCCGAGCTTCATTCAAGCTGCGGTGGATGTGGTGTATAAACTGTGTGTATAAACTGAACATTCTTGTTTCATTACATGATCGATTGCTTTGTACAATTTCGGCGCATAATACAAAAACTGACTTCGATTATTCTGGAGTTCTATTCCATACTGCGTACTAGTTCGGTTGGAGCTTAATTGCGCGGATTATTGTGGTTCAATTCCTGATACCAAGTACAGATTACCACACCTTCCCATACGTTCAAACGCGATGTAGTCAAAAGGTGAAATCAGTAGTCAGGATGAAACACACTAGTCTTTGCCTACAGTTGGCCTCGAAGACGTTTGGTTTGTTTCACAATTATATGTTTCTTCCATGCTTTTATCGAAAGCTACGGAACAAGCATACAGACTTAGTCACGGCTACGCTGATTGGTCCACGTCAGTTGGATTTAGTTTGAGTATCGCGAAGCTACCTCTTGTGTAGCTGGCTCTGAACAGCTCCGAATGATCAAGAACTTTCTTGTGTTTGTTGTCGTGAGAACACAATACCTATCATAATTTGAGGTACCGGATAAGATATAGAAAAAATATAAGTACCAATACATCTTTTCGAATTTGGGAGATATGATCAAAATCAAATGGCTCACTAAAATTGAATAAAACGTCCGAACACATCGAAAATCTTCACTTTGATTGCTATTCCAATGATATCGGTTCTTCTCCATTGTTTAAATGTTTTTATTCCGAATCAATCAAAGCTGAAGAGAAATAATAATTAACTCGGTATTTAGTGTCAAATACTCACTGAGAAAATCCGTCCCAGATACCCAAGAACAAAGTGAAAAGGAGAAGAAATTGCTGTTCGATATATGGTGTCAGGTATTTACATCTACATTTTAATCAGTCAACAGAATGACATAAGGCCTAAGCTGATGAATGTGTGTGTGTGTGTGTGTGTGTGTGTGTGTGTGTGTGTGTGTGCAGTGTTCTCCTGACAACAAGCTATACTGTCGCGATAAATGGATAGGTAAAGGCAAAGTAAAATGTGTGAATTGGGCACGATATGAAATGTGTTAGTCAAGCATGAGTGAAATAATTCCGAAAGTGTGAGAAAAAGGCACCAAATGAGTAAAGGGGAGAGTGGGAAAGGTGTCACAAATATAAGACAAATATAAGAATATAAGACAATCCCTCTTACGACCATG